AATAATGATATGTTTTTTGGTGATAACCAACTAACTCTATAGATAAAATTGTTCATCATTAGTTTTTTGTTGTTGTTGTTGTTGTTGTGGGGCTATAGAGCAAAATAGATAGCGAAACAGTGAGAGGGGACAAAAGTTTATCAATTGTAACTAAATATTATCTATCGGTTTCTACTTGAAAACATACTATGGATAGGATAATTAATCTATGGGAGAGAACTGAATGTGAGAGATTGATAATGATTATTGTTTCGTTTGTGTTTGTGATATCGAATATTATCATTATTATTTTTTATCGTAATTTCACGTTTTTTTATCTGCACAATATTTGAATGAACAAACAGAAAATGCATTGCAGAAAAGCCAACCAAATTACTTTGGCCACTTTTTTTTCTTAATCATCATCAATATCATGCAATCGATTGTCACATGTAGTTATTTACGATAATCTGAACCAAGATAGATAACAGATAACTATACTATACCATATTATTATCATTATCATTATCAAATATGGAATTAATTGAAACGAAAAGCGAAAAAAACAATTATAAATAAGCATCATCATCGTTATTAACGAATGAATAAATCAATGATTGTTTTTTCAATCATATGTTATTCATTTCAAATGGAAATGGAATCTGTTACATCTATGTGTGTGTGTGTGACATTCAAAGAAGCGAAAATATAAAAGAAATATATATTTGTTTTCAAATAACAAAAAAAAAAAAAAATCCACACCAAAATATAAAAGTAAATAATAAACACAGAATCCATTTTTTTCCTTTAATCAATTATTATCAGGACAGATTTTCATTTATTATTATGTAAATTTTTTTCAACAACAAAAAAAATGATATTATTAAACAAATAACAGTAGCAGCAGTAGCAGCAAATATAAAATATGAATGAACCCTTTTCATCATTTGTTTACTTATGATTATTAATAGGTAAAAAACAAACATAAAAAACACATTGATTATGCTTATATATGAAATTTTTTTTCTTTACTTTTGCTTGCTTGGCGAATTTGTTTTTTTGTTCTTGAAATTACGTTTTTCGGCCTGTTTGTCTGTGTGAAAGTGTGTAAGTGTTAAGAAAAGGGAACAAAAATCAATTATTGAATGAATGAATGACACGAACAACAAGAAAAAAAAATATTAACGTCATCATTATTATTATTATCAGAAGTATTAAAGTAAAGTTCAATTGCTGAAATGAAATTAAAAAAATTCAACAGACAAAAAGATTTTATTAGAAAAAGATTCTGAGGATGATGGCAATCCAAACAAACAAA